TCACATCAGTGACAGTGACGACATCAGGTGTTGGTCCCGGTCCAAAACGACCTCTTACCATGTGATTCTTAATGTTCATTCACCTGATGGAGGAAGCATAAACTCATTGTGTTCCTCCTATTGAAGAGGTTGACATCTATATTTATCCTCGTGCTAAAGACAAAAATACACCCAGTTCATCATGGACAACAATGTCACAAGTTTCAAACCTCCTACACATGTCCCTCTCTCTCTATTTCTCTCTCTCTCTATTTCTCTCTCTCTCTATTTCTCTCTCTCTCTCTCTCTCTCTCTCTCTCTCTCTCTCTCTCTCTCTCTCTCTCTCTCTCTCTCTCTCTCTCTCTCTCTCTCTCTCTCTGTGTTCGTTCTCAATATTAGAATAGCAGGATTTTCAGAGGCATTATGCATTCAATATTATGTAATGTAACAGCTGGTCCCTTTGATACCCGTACTTTCAATTTTAATATTTTTACATAAATCATTGTAGAGGTTGTTTATAGTTCCATCACTAATGCATGATTTTAGTTGCAGCAGATGAAGTTTATATAAATAATATCAAGTGTCTGTCCACAGACCTACAGTTTAAAATTGGATTTGCTGATACAAGGAATATCAACACGTACAAGGCTGCAAAGGTCACCTAAACACTGCAAACATATGGTCCAAAGTACAACAGTGATACTTCCATGAAATACATCACTATTGAATTACCATTTGTTGTTTGTTATATACAGACACCCTTTAGACTAACGCTATATCTATAATTTTGATTTTGATTGTAGCAAATAAACCCATTTAAATTGAAAAGGAGACCGCGGGGGACAAGACTGAATCTGGGGAGATCTAGACTTGCTTCATTTAGGGCTTTAGCATTGCAGGGAGGACAAGGCTGTAGGAAATATAATATGGCTCAGGGACTGTGAGACAGACTTAGTCACCCTTAAACACGGGAGTATATTTATTATAGAGATGCCATATGCCCACGTGTCATTGTCTTAATATAACGTAGTTTATCGGAGCTCTCATTCGCTGTAGAAGCTAATAACTCGGCATTGCAGTTTCTCAATACAACAATACTATAGTTTCCAAGAGTGAATCAGAACAAGATGATGTATCAGGAACAAGAATCCGTTGCTTGTAAAATTGTAATCAACCTCACCTACACACATGCCAACTACATGTACCATGATTCAGTCTCCTGTATCTATGGCAAGAAGGTGCCGAAATCCCATCTCTTCTAAATAGAAAATCTATAATATGGCCAGTGGGAACCGAAATCTCTTTACCGTTCTTATCTCGTGGTATCATTATGCCTTATCATGCAACTGTCTGTTCACAAGTACAATGGCCTGTATGTCTCTTTGACATGCCCAGTTGGTGAAGGGCAATCGTTTGATTAACCATCAACAAAGCTTCCAGCTAATGCTAATTGCTGGCAAATTGCACCCCGTAGGCCTGAGGGGCAATTTACTTATCACAATATAGGTCAAGGGGGTTTTAAGGACGTGTTCCTCGTGTTAAACTGCAACGTTATTGCCTGTTTTAATTGTAATAGTCCCATCTGTTAATCTCAGATTGGTTTTGGAATATGTTCTAGTGCTTCGCACTTACATTATTCGTATATATATATAATGTGTTGTAGCACAGATTGGCTGAGAAACCCATTACATGTCTCTCTTCATTCAGATGTGTGCTTTGATGAATATTGCAGACAAGGCAAATTATGTCCTTTAGGAAGAATGGAATCGCACTGTGCAATGGCACGTAGAAGAAAGGAAAGAAAGGCTTAGACGTCTCTCTCAAGCAAATAATCATTATAACCCTGTCATATTAAGATTGTGTTTCATGGAAGACTCGACATGTCATTTCATTTTGTGAAAAGGTTATAAGATACGTTGCTTTTTTATGAATATTATTTTAGAAGCAACTGAATGTTATTTTTATTATATTTTTATGTTCATATGATATATAATGTAGAATTTTCTGAGGTTTACGAGAATTACATTCAGCCATATATTTCGACAACATGAACTTTGTATGTTCCTTTCCAGACGATGAGTGTGAATCGCACAACCTGTTTCCCACAGAAGAAGAAATACGGCAAAACAAGGCGATAGACAGTCACTATTTAGGTAAGCTAGAACTCTTAGTTATAGTAATCTTCCTGTATATACACTGAATCTTATATATATAATCCCATTATATTCTGATATACTTGCTATAGCATATAGCGGACCGTATATTTAAGCATAATGACACCCCTTACTCATATCGGCATCATCCCTTGTTTCTCAGTATGCTGAAATAACAAATCCATGACAACATCCCTAGAGTAACATTTCTGTAATATATTTATAGCCATTGTAATATGTTATGGTTGTTAAAATGATACTTTTTATTCATATAATTAACAGAGATTACGAAATAATGAGTTGGAGTGTAATGAATAAAATATGTCATTCTACTGATAAACCATTCTCCCAGGCACTATATCGAATTAAATGCGAGCGCCATGATGGGTTAGGTTTGGGGTTTCATGGGAATTCGCGACATTCATCCATATTTGCCCAGACAATAAATCACTTTGACATTTGTAGCAATAAATCTTGTGTGTAATCCCGCATGGGCAAGATATTTCTAATATACATGACAGTGCTATTAACACGTCCTGTGGACTGATATTCCCTGGTGCCAAGAATGGAGCTGCTTTCATGAGATGAATTTCATCCATGGGTTCCACTGGTCCGTAAGATGTCCACGTTTTTAACCTCCGATGGAAATGGCCATGACAATATCTGCCATTTGAAACTGAAGAAATACTATATTGTCAGTATATGCGGATCACTATATCACTACGATCAATAACAGGTACTACCTGTAGAACTATACCAAATGTGTCATCGTATACGTGATGTTTGTCTATATTAGCATAATGTGAGTAGCATTTATGTCGGGATGAGTTTATTCTCTGTATGAGACTTCGTGACAATCGACCATGACACTAAATATGCGTTCGTATATCAAACTATTCTCAGTACAGTTACCATAGTCTCTGACCTTGTCAGTGACTCCAGTAGAGTGAGCCAGTGACTCCCGTGGACAATACAGCCATGTTGGATAAATGCGTTCATCAGGTGTAACAAAATAGGCCATTGGTGCTGCCATTTTCATGCTCACCATATTCCCTTAAATATTAGCATAAAGACATGACTTTAAGTCGGAGATATACATGAACAAATTTGTTTCATGATTTTCACGATGGTTAACGGAATAGCATCAGGTGGAAATATTCACTGTTTTCAAATATGTTTAAACATTATTGTTCAGATGGGCCTAACGAACTGATAAAGATTGGTATGTACCCTTCACAATAATGCTTTATGTTTTCTTGGTTGTTTAATTTGGCTTCTTCAATCTTCCCCATAGCTTCAGATGTGCAATAGTATACAATAGCATCAGCTTCGTCATATTGTGCATGGAATTTAAAGACGATTCGGATTGAAACTCTGCATGAGAATAACACAAAATACTTGTGTTGATTGTTGTTTGTAGATGCTATTTACATATTGAGCATTTAACAAGTCGCTTCAGAACCAACCTTTGTTTTATTGTGTTGTAGGATTATACATTTCTTCTCAATTTCACTGTATGATTTAAAGTTGCATGGTATATTGTATATTATACTTTGTTCTATAATTGATGTGTTATGAAAACAAATAATGCATTTTATTCTATATACCATTTTATATGTCATTCAAATTCATAGCGATCATGCATAATTATGGAATGTGGAGACAAGAGTAACGGCTATGAAGTCGACGTTTATGCATCTGGGATCATTGTCATTGAAATTATTATTGCTGCCAAGCTGTTTAAGCTGTTTTCTTGTGCATTTGAATATTTTCTGCATCAGTTTTGATATGACGCTTCTCCCCTCCCTGTTGTGACGCTTTGAATTGCGTTGAGGAAGGTTTATCTGTTTTGTTAATATTGTGCGATCTTGCTTCAAGTGAATTGTTAGTGTTAGTCCCGGGCGTTGAAGTTAGACTCGCAATAACGTGTTTAAAGCGTACGTGAAACTAAACAACGTTGCCGTATGTCTTACCTTTAAAACATTAACATTTAAAAAGAACAGTTATAACCTAATGTAAGCCAAGGCGAAACTTGAATAACGTCAAGCCAGGTGGACCAACTTACTGTTCTTAGGATTTACTGAGCAAGTTCTTAGATACATAGAGGATTGAATCCCCCTAGGATTGAATATATATATATATAATTTTGAAAAAGTTGTAAACACGTGTTACATGAATGTTATCAAAACGCTTCTTTCATTACAGTTTTATCAGGAAACTGTAGTTTCAGCAGTTTTAACGGCATTCCAGAAGTTGGCCCGGCTGCACAAAGCGATCTTAGCTAAAGCCTATCTTAGATTGTGGGAGTTACGATGACCGTAGCACTTAGATTGCTTTGTGCAACTGAGATCTGTGTTTGTAGGGGTAATATGCTGAATAAAAACTAGTTCACCATATATCAGACAAGGTAAGTTGGTTGAGATTGTTTCTCCTTGATCCTTCTTTCAACACGTACTTCATGACATGTTGGTGAGGACAAGGTTCATGTTTCTCATATTTTCAGCAGAAACACATTCCTATAGTACTCCTTTCTCCTCTCCATCCTTGAGATGTCATGTAACAATTCCCATTGCATTGCAGACTACACGAGGACAGCGATTGCCTTCACGATTATCGCCATCCTGTTGATGGTGATAGGTCACATGTTTGCGGCGTACACCTTAAGGCGACCTCGATACATCATCAAGAGGCTGACTGCCCTGCTGCATCTCATGACAGGTAATACGTTAGCCGTATACAGGCTTGTCCGCTGGCTCGAGACTACCAAATTGTGTTGAGGACAAGTGAATATCCAAAGAGTGTAGTCCACATTGTCTAGTAGCATATTGGGGTTATAATTATGAACTAGATGTACTTCTCGAGTAGTCTCTCTCGAAGTCCGAGAACCATATTTTTCTCTCTCAAACCCAGCACTGCCTGTAATGCAAGCGCTGTAAATGAGCACGTCTAGATTTTCTCCAATCTTCCGTCTCACTGGGGCTTCTCCTGAATTTAAATGGAGCTCTTTGTAAATCTCAGAGTTATATGTTTTAAGAGACTAAGTGTTGGTCTAGTGTTCAAGTTTCAATTTGGAAAGAAATCGAACTGACAGGAGTAACTGTTTTTCTCTTACAGGACTAGTTTTAATCCCGTCAGGTGAAATGAAGTTTCTGAAAAAACGAATGTCTTAGGTTGCAGTATATGTAGTTCAGTTAATGATAAATTACTATATTATATACGAGAAATTAAACTAGTAATAACACGGTGAAACATTAAAGTATCACGTATACACAGCATCGCTCCACACTCTGTTGCATCTGGTATTTGAGGTTATACAGGCAACCTTTAAGAATGTTTCAGTGTTTTCATGTTTTCATTTCAGCGCGTTTTTTTCGTGTATACTTAATACCCTTGTACCATAAATTCAATAAAATGAAAGCGACAAAACCCATTCCACACATTAAGCATGAGAAATCCTTGCCAAAAGTAGATTCCATTATACGACTCCAAGAATATGGAAGCAATGACATAAGAATCACCTTCATATAGTGATGATACCGGATGAGAACAGATGAGCATATCAGTGGCAACTATCATAGAAACGTGCAAAGGCTAGTCAATTAGTTGCCTGAAAAGTACACACAATATATGGACTAATAAAGTGGAGAATCGTATTGTACATGTCGGATTATTGTCACAGATTTGGAACTGTCCACCAAATGTCTTCCATGAAAGCTTTTGTACTTTGTACTGAGGCCTTGCATCTTGAAGCCTTTATCAAGCAACTTCTGGGCAATGGTCGCATGACGTTCTATGGAATCTACTCCAGCCACCCACCCCTTCCTATACGTGTAGCATATGTTTAAATCAACCATTATTTGTTTCAGCGGCCTGTATTCTCGTCCTGAACGAAGTGTTCTCCAGGAGCGTGGAACATGGTTTGAAGAATCTTCCCGAGAAGTATCCACAAGGGGTAAATTCATCCTACGGCTTCTCCTACGTGTTCTCCTGGCTTGTGTTCGTTGTGTATGTCGCTGCAGGACTCCTGTTTTTATTCATGTCACACAAAAGGAAAGCGGACATGGCCGACACTGTTGACGTCATGGCAGAGCAAGACGAACCAATGCAGCTGGGAAGAGTTTGAAATGTTCCCAAAGTCATTTATGTATGCGCATGTGCAAGAAAGTGGCAGTGAAGTTCCGGTTCCCCCGGAAGTAGAATTGTGCCTCCGACCAAGTTTTGGTTGAATGATTCTGGACATAAAGGGCACTTAAAGTCAAATAGCTAATAATACTGATGACACATTGAGCCACAACACAACTCACTAGCATTGTGTTGATTGCAACAAAAGCCCTCAGGATGATCAGTTTCGCGTTTTCCGACAGTGGCTGGCCACCTTACATTATGCAATACATGCAAATGATTCTGTGAATATTATGACGTATTGTGACAACCAACCGATACGCATGGTGATGCAGTGATGGCAGCGTGCTTTACGTGGATTGGAAAGCCAGAGAGATCCAGCACCTTGATTTATTCTTTCTCATCGATCCTTTTGAACCGATGTGAACAACCTGGCCTTGACCTTCATTAACCATCGATTAATTTGGATATGATGTCAGAGAAATTCCCGTATGTCGAATGGTGCTTTCCCTTGTGATATTGGTAGTGATGAAAACCGCTGGTTGGTGTTCCTTTTGAAGAAAATATTTCACCATTATTTTTCAACCTTGATTAGTAACTGTGTCGTGTGATTTCCACTCCAAATGGCTTCCATTATTGATGACACTTCGTTCTTCACTCAAATATGTGTATGGCAAGGATATACACTTTGTGGTTTATTTTCACCATTAATTTATGCATAAAGATTCCATAATACAATACCACTGTTAGCGTACATTATCGTTGTATAATTTATCATATGAATATATAACACTGAATCACCAGATAGTTAATAAGTACGTGCAGACTTAAACAACAGTGAATTTCAAAGGTGCCATATTCATGTCTATGTGGTTGTTTATTTGCAATATTAAACAAAATGCAGTATTCCTTATCAGTTTTGATGATAAATCATTGAAACAAAAATTGTCTATGTAAACGGATATGATGATTGTGACATTACTCTGCTCAATGTGTAAAGTAATATGTAATCTTTAATGCAATTTTCATACTGATGCACATCCTTCTATGTTGTCTGTTGACTTTGTATGCATGTAATAACCATGTCATGTCAACATGTACAATCCTTATATCTAATTAACACGGCAGGGAACCTGTATATATTATTATGTGCACTGATTTTCCAACTTGAAGCTTTTCAACAACAACCCTCAGCGTCCATGCATGATAGAGTTTCCATTGCTTATAGACATCAATTCTTCAGTCCCTCATCAGTGATGTGACTGTTGTCAGCCGCTACTGAGTATCAACCTTCATATTTCTAACTCAACATCGTGCACTGGTTTTTGTTTCTATTCTGCTGTATCTGTTCGCTATTTCATGTTTGAGTCCAAAGATTATTGATGCAAATGGTTGAATTGAACCACGTTTTATTAATTCACAGATAAACTGGAGAGTTGACAGTTTTGTACAGGGGGATATTTACCTTCCTTCACCTGTGTCTTGTAACAAATTTGCAAAATGTGTATTAAACAGAATGTGCCATATTGCATATGTGTAAGATCAACCCAACGGCATATTACAATAATGATAAGCAATCATGAAAAAAGTGGAGTCTAATATTCGAAACCATTTTACATTTTATCGCAGACTTAAATTTGGAAGAAAAAGTACAATTAGACATATTCCTATATTTTGTACAATGGTACGTTGAGGACATCTTAGCATCCTGATATCCAGTACCTAAGCAAATATATAAAAAATGAAATTAACGTTTCTTCTTGAATGTTAGGTTGTTCGGAAATGCACAGCTAATATTCTGGAGGTATTTCCGGAAATACGATCTGCAAATCAACATTTTGCCCGGAAGGTAAAATAGCTGGAGGGCTGATCAATAACTTTTAACGAATAGACACGGAAAAGGTCTTGACTAAGTCGATGGATTGCGGAACCGACAAAGACCTAATGATCTGTATTTAGAATGCTCGAAATCCCAAGGCGAGATGAACAAAAGAATAACATGGTATTGCATTTGCTTGATCTTAGAAACGATTCTCAAATTACTTTTCACCTTTCAAGAGAAAAAAACACGTCGAAATAGACTTGCTGTATGTCGTCAACCCACACTCAATAACATTATCAGATATTTCCAAGATCCAGAGTAATCCTTCATATTTTGTCAGTTTAGTTTAGTTATATAGTATTGATGATTTAAAAGGAAAAAGTCATATTCATATTGGTTTAACATTTAAACTTCCAACATTATTATTTCTTTGGGCACGAGATTCTACAGGATTACATAAAGCAGAATGACATGAACATGCTTCAAACAGCTTACTAGCCTATCCTGAAAATGTTAGTTATATATTCAGGTTTGTCAATTCCTTCTGTGCTCATTGAGAAAGGTATTGCGATATGAAGGCGCAGCGCAATGTTATATGCAGTCTCAATTATAATTTATCTCAAACAGATGTACACAAAAACAAGATAGTGAAAAAGATTATATGATGGATTACTGACAATTATTGGCGACTCTCCAATACTATACAAATGTATGAGCAACGTTTCCCGTGCAATTCTAACAGCCATGAGTTTTTGTTTGTTTATGTGTGTTTCTTTTTCAAATCTTTGGATATAACATAACCAGATGTGTCATTTGAATTGTTCTCACGTTTTGTGATCGCTATGTCCCCTGTTGCACGTACGTAAAAAATAGCTCTTACATTTTCCTTTTTTAATTGTATATAGATGTCCGCACATTTTCATTTTAGATATGCGCATTACATATATGTATTTAGTAAGATACATTGGGAATTAGGTGGGGGTTGATCGTTTTGTGAGTGAAAGACCTTTGTTCTCATTTTAGTGCACTCGGATCACAGATCCAAGTGCGATTATGTCGTTGCACGTTGTCTATCCAGTCTGTTGGGGAAGCTCTAGAACTATTGAAATTAGATTGTGAAAAAATATATCGCAGAGAGCTGAAAACGTTTGAAAAAGGATTTGTTTTTTTATTATGATTAGGAAGTTTCCAAAGACTAGACAGAGATGAACTGTGAACATGACGGCATATCGACCATCGGCTTTTGCTTTTGTAAACGATATCGCTAAAACAACATTGAATTACGTCTTAAAAACTATAATTGGCTTTTGCATCGCACACACAGCACAAAAACATAGGTTTTCCTTTTCCGGAAACCTGACCAATTTGAACCGGAAGGTTTCGGGCCAGACACCTAAATACTGTTTAAAAAAATCAGATGTTCTTCAGCTTGTTTCAAATGTAAACGAAAAAGTTAATCAAAACTTCGATCATTGATTTTCAAGCACTAAAGTTTTGGAATCTTTTCAAAACATATCCGGAAGGGTTTCGGAAAACGTAAATATGCTTTTTTTTTGTGGTGTCGTTTTCCTGCCCTATGCCGTCAGACCATGTTACACATCTGCTTGGCATCTCAGCGTTAAAAACAACCACACATTCTCCATCGATGAACCATCACTGCTTACGATTTAGAACCGACGTCGGGGCCTCGGATTGCAAAGTCTTCTCGGGTGCCGCAATTGGCTGTGCAGAGTTATGTCCCCTGGGCGTGTCCCGGAGCCGGAGACCTTGGTTCGAATCTGGGTTTCCAGGTTCGTCAGCGCCATAGCCGGGATCATGAGTATTAAAATGTGTTTAACACCTGTATCGCTTTGGGTACCCCTCCACCATTAAGATGACACGTCGTAATATTACTGGAATACTGACACTCACTCACTCACTCACTCACTCACTACAAACACGACCCGTGAAGGTCCGGGTTAGAATTGATTTTCAGTAGCCCATGCTTGTCGTAAGAGGCGACTAACGGGATTGGGTGGTCAGGCTCGATGCCTTGGTTGACACATTTTATCGGTTCCCAATTGCACAAACCCATGCTCATGATGTTGATCACTGGATTGTCTGGTCCAGACTCGATTATTTACAGACAGCCGCCATATAGCTGGAATATTCCTCAGTGCGGCGTAAAACTAAACGCACTCACTACAAACAAACATATGCATATCGATGCATCACTCTGTACATGAGCTACAGTGCCCTGGTGTTGTATTTACAAGTTTTCCGTGTTTTTGAGTTGTGTTAGAGCCTTATCAATGCCCACTGATCTCACGATCATGTTGTAAGGGTCTTGTCGATCTGATCACATCTGATCGTTGTAACACCGATCGATCTGTGTCACCTGATCGAAAGACCCTAATTTAGCATATGCACTTTTTTACGATTGTCCCTGATCTAATATGGCACGTCCCATCTCCGTGAAAGAGATCTCTATTTTGTTACAGTTTGATATTTATTGTTCTGTCCTTTACACATCGAATAAACGACGAACACCCTTAATGCTTTCGTGTTATGATTATTTTCTCTTACCCTCTGTAAGGTATCCAAATCGGACATAAATTGGACGGGGAAGATCCGGGTTAGAATTGGTCTTCAGCAACCCATGCTTGTCGTAAGAGGTGACCAACGTATCCCAATTGCGTAGATCGATGCTCATGCTGTTTATTACTGGATTGTCTGGTCCAGACTTGATTATTTACAGACCGCAGCCTTATAGCTGGAACAGTGCTGAGTGCAGCATTAAACAACAAACAAACAAACAACAATTGGCACATCTAACGTTTTAATGTGACTCATCGTGTAGTGTTTGAAGCGATGTTAACTGAACTTGCAACCTGACTTGATTTATTGAACGCATAGGTTGTTCGTTCAAATCCAAGAGTCATCTTTGTCCTTGTTCTGTTGGATCTACGGCCTTTCTCAACTTTAACTCGCAAGTTTTGATGAGTGAAAGATTGATTTTCGCCGCTTGGGGAGTATTTAAGTTTTAACACGGCGTATGAGACTGGTGTAGGATAAAGCCTGAAGCGAGCTGGTCACTGGACCACTGAAACATACAAGCGCGTGTATAGTGCTGGCAAATCTGTATACGTAGCTAGGGATTTTAAACAATGTTCCGTTTCCTCCACGCCACAGAGACGCAACTCATGCAGAGACAGGGCGCGACTTACAGGGACATCCTTCCCTATCTAGTACCGCCTCCGTGGTGTAGTGGTCAGAGCGTCCGCCCGGAGACCGGAAGGTCGCGGGTTCGATCCCCGACCGCGTCATACCAAAAGACGTTAAAATATGGTACTTGTTGGTCCCTGCCTGGCGCTTGGTATTAATGGGTACAACAAGGACAGGTCGGCTCGGAGTCAGTATAATGTGTCTGAGTGAGGTATTCATGCTTCGCTGCGGCATGGTATCTCAGTGGGCTAGCACTATAAAACCAGCTTAAGTCTGGGCTAGTACAAGCAGCCGCACATACACATACACACGCATGCACGTCGTCATATGAGCGAAATATTCTCAAGCACGACGTTAAACCCAATTTCACCTCACCTCACCCTATCTAGTTTTACGTTCTAAGAAAGGAAAACATAGGAAATGGATAGACTTTCGCCATACTTATAATTATTCTTTATAGTGCCATAAAAATGTTAGCCGTAAAGAAAAAGGAAATATCTCCAATAGTATAAGTATCCTAAAAGGACGTTAACACATTTGTTCATAATTCGTTGCAAGTGGGCAAAAATTGCTACCTATTTTCTGAATAGGTTCTAAATGTCCCCGTGCTGTTTTATGGAGCCCAAACAAAGTTGTGCACAGATAAAATTACCAGATGATAAATATTGTAAATACTTAATGGTTCAACGCTTCTAACACACTCTCACTGAACGACTGTAATCTCGTGACCCAACGCCTTCGATTCCACAGATCCAAATTCTATCTGAAATGAAGATAACAGTAACCACGGTTCTGGATACAAGTTCTCCGGAAAACTGCTTCCGAAATTATTCTGGTTCTGTGCCAGCAGAAACGCCACCGTGGCTGGTAACCGCTCACCCTCATCAACTGTCTGTCTGTTTCCATCAGGGGAGCCTACCATAGCTCCACTTGGTCGAGGGCTGGGGATATGGTGTGGTAAACGTCTTTGGGAGATGTGTATTTTTATGTACTATCTCTAGATGAACTGTGTTTAAATACGGTATCGCTGTGTGGTTTTCTGTTTGTGATTAAGCTCTAATCGCGTGTAACCGTTAATTGCTGCTTCGTGAAAAGACACCTTTTAACACTGTTTTTTTTCATTGATGCGTTAAAAATAGTCCCATATCATATTCCCTTCCCAGATCTAAATGAATTGCTTTATCTCCAAACGAAGCAAGTCTAGATTTTGCCCAGGTACTGTCAATCCCACTCGGGTTCCTTTTCAAATTAGATGAGCTAATTGTTTCTGTCAAAGGTTTCATTCTCTATGCTTGAGTTTAAACATGTTTTTGTAGATGTACATACGGAAAACTACTTTTGTACCGAACACGCTTATAAGGAACTGACGGATAGAACGAACCAATTTTTAGCCCCGACCACTTTCTGTATGTTAGTCCAAATGCGTGTAACGAACTACGGTTGTAACGAAGTAAAATTAGTGATTCCTTTGAGTTCGTAATAACCGTGGTTTATTGCATTACATCAGACTTCCATGTTGGACAGGTTGACCGTTCATGTTTGTTACACTGATGCAATCTAGTGGGGTAAAACAGGGGTCGCCAACTTGCAGTTCTGACGACCACGGGTGGCCGTTTCTCTAATGTGGTGACATTCGTTGTTTATATTCGCGGTCATTCAACTGTTTTAGACGAACCGGTATCCGAAATGTGGGATACATTCAAGAAGTAAACGCTTAAGACTGGCACCAAGATGGACCGATCATCCCATATCATAGTGACGTCCTAAAGCGAAATACTGTTCAAACCGGGTACGATTCCACACATGGATTCAATGTATGAACCCATTTCTGGTGATATTGCTGGAATATTGCTAAAAGCGGCGTAAAACCATACTCACTCACTCACTTCTACTTTAAGACCTGTGCACATGTACTTTTATGTAAACGTTATTACAGTTTCACATCAAGCCCGTGTCAGTATCTATTCCCTGTCACTGAAGCGAAGTCTCCTAATTTCAACCGATCTGGTTTATATTTTCGTATCGATATTTTTTTCCGCCCTGCGTGACTGATCTAACAGCATGATTCTACCGTTCAGCCAGGCTCATCAATCATGCCTCGGGCACAGACCGTTTGTCGTTTAGAACTTTCTAAAAAAGCCTTTCAGGAACACCGTGGTATGTTCTTTACTCTCTTAGATCTACGTTCTTCTGAAATCAATGATTTCTATTTTGAGATATATTTGGGAGATACGGATTAACGTCTTTGAAAGGAACCGCGGCTTGGTGTACGTGAACTTAGGGAGTCAGAGCTGAGAAACTTAAAAACCCCGTTCGTTAAAGTGTTAGTGCTTATTGTGGTAACGTTAGGATCCAGTAGCCAACAGTGTATTGGTCTGAAAGAATTTATTGATTTTAGGTGAATTAAAGTGAGTTTAACATGCTTGTATGATCATAACGAAATTGTTCATAACTGAAACGAAAATGGTTTTATTAACAACTAGTTTGGATTATTGTTCTTCTAGATCATTAGAATTGATCCTCAACAACCCATGCTTGTTGTAAGAGGCGACTAACGGGATTCGGTGGTCAGGCTCGCTGACTTGGTTGGCACATGGCATCGGTTCCCAATTGCGTAGATCGCTGCTCATGATGTTGATCACTGGATTGTCTGGTCTAGGCTCGATTACTTACAGACCGCCGCCATATAGCTGTCAGCACATACCTGGCCACGTGGTTTTCACCAAAGCCGTAACCGCGTGAGACCTGCGCCACTTCTATAAGGGTATGGTAGTTATAACTGAAGGAAAGCCGGCTATGACATGCTTTGGTGAACGCATCCAGCATGTCAAGGCACAACCTGCATCGTTATAAGTCTACAAGTGAATTCTGGCACAGGTAAGGGACGAAACTCTGCACACCTTTCTTTCGACCATTTTTCTTGTGGGCCCCGTTTTAATACTTTAGATTATCAGAAGCTTCACCAACCATATGATGACATACCGCATGGCCACATACCACATGACGACATACCATTTGACAACATACCATATGACAACATTCCACATGGCCACATACCACATGATAACATACCATATAACGACATACCATATGACGACATACCACATGGCCACATACCACATGACGACATACCACATGACGACATACCATATGACGACATACCACACGAAAACATACCACATGGTCATATACCACCTGATGACATACCACATGACGACATACCACATGACAACATACCACATGGCCACATACCACATGATGACATACCATTACGTTATGAGTCTACAAGTGCATTCTCGCACAGGTAAGGAACGCAACTCTGCTCACCTTTCTTTCGACCATTTTTCTTGTGGGCCCCGTTTTAATACTTTAGATTATCAGAAGCTTCACCAACAAAGACTGATCCATGTTCTCATTCTGCGACATACCACATGACAACATACCACATGGCCACATACCACATGACGACATACCATATGACATACACATGACGACATACCACATGATAACATACCATATGACGACATACCATATGGCCACATACCATATGACGACATACCATATGACGACATACCACATGGCCACATACCACATGACGACAAACCATATGACGACATGCCAAATGACGCCATACTACATGACATACCATATGACAACATACAACATGACGACATACCATATGACGACATACCATATGACAACATTCCACATGGCCACATA